TTTGGGGCTAAACTACATGAGGTGTAAGAAATATCTATTTATTTATTTCTTGGTAATAAGAAACGAATAAATTAATATAGTTTGCAAGTGGCAACCCTGTGCGAATACAATAACGAAATCCGTTTTAATGACGCTGAAAATATGTATTAACGGATGTAATTATCCGTTGACGAATTTATACGTTTTATATCATTTTCATATAAAAAGTAAAATAGGTATTTTATCATAAAAAATGTTAAATAAAACTAGTTTTATTTAATTAGTGATGTACGTGAAAACCTAAGAAACAAAAATGTTATATTTCTGAAATCACTAAATAGAATATGAACCCTTAGAATATAAACGCATATAAGTGTAAAAAAGTCGAAAAGTTTCTTCATGAAACCAGTAGTGAGGTATTAAATTAAACCTAACAACCAAAGTGTAAAAAGCTCGTTAATCTTTTAACTACAAAGTCTGATTGTGTACGCATATCAAGTTCCAATTAGACACTGGCTGTAATGACATAAAACTTGTACCAACAACACCTAAGGAATAACAAACTTATCGTTGATGGCGCACAGTTCAAATTACGGCTGCGGCTTAAATCGGTAATCGAGCTGGGAATACTATTCGCAAATTGTATGCCGTGCGACGAGGACGGACAGTATTACGGTTCGATGCGAGATAAGGATGCGAGAGCAAAGTCTAGACGTCAGATTTAATACGAAATCGCATTGAATATTTATAAAGTGCTGACTTTTGCCTGCGACAGACGTTATGTTTCTGTCTATGCCAGGATACGTGGGTACAATACGTAGGTATGTTCTTCTACGGTAATAATAAAACAGTTGCTGAAGGTTTATTTGATATCAACACAACACGTACTTACAAAAAAATAAACAACACAATTAACATCATAAATTCAACCATGCGTAAGATATTGGCAAACTCTATTCCAGTACTGTATTTCATAATTACAAATAATAGGAACTTACATAACATTCGAATATTGAATCTACGAAAATAGAGGCTGTATGTTTCAGTATAGCTCTGGAGAACATTCGCTTAAATGCAGATTAGATTAAAAAGCACTTTTTAAATGTTTTTTTTTTATGTTAATGGTGCATCAAACAAGTGTATAGCTAGCCTGGTGGTAAGCGTCCACCAAAGGCTATAATTCGAATATTGAATCTACGAAAATAGAGACTGTATTTTTCAGTATAGCTCTGGAGAACATTTGCTAAAATGCAGATTGGATTAAAAAGCACTTTTAAAATGTTTTTTTTTTATGGTAAAAGTGCAGCAAACAAGTGTATAGCTCGCCTGGTGGTAAGCGTCTACCAAAGGCTATAGACGCTTGCGATACCAAAAGTATCACTCGCACGTTGTCTACCCTAACCCAAACTCCTTCCCTAAAAGCCCTGGAACCTTACTTACCGACAGAAACACAGTGTTATTTTACTGTAGTCTTGTGTAAGGTGGAGGTAACTTCCCCAGACGGGCGCTCCAATTCGAGCGGGAAATCCACTATGACCTCCCTTTCTTGGTGATTAATATTATCTTACTGATTAATAATTACAAATAATAGGAACCTACATAACTACAAATACAATACTAGAAACGATTTAATTGCAAATAAAGATTTATATTTTTATATTTAATAGTTTTATACGGAAATCTGATGTACTAGCTTTTTTGAATTCGCACATATTAAACATAATGGAAAAAGAATATTTTAAATAATTTCTATCCCTTATTTTTAAACATTACAATATCAAAACGAACTCTAAAGAAAACTAAACGCGCTTCACCAATCGCTCGCGCAGTATAACATTTTTTCCTCCGTAACAAGTCGTGGCCGGCTGATCAGATTAAGCTCTAACCGGTCCTCGAAAACATCCCGAGGTAGAAAAAAAATAACAAAAAACGAAGCTAATAACAACAAATAACGAGGCGTTCGCCCGTCGCTCCTAGTGATGGGCAACTCTCGATGTTTTGAGTGATAAATGTTCCTAAAAAGAAAAAAAATGTAGGAAATTTCACGCAATATTACTCTAATGAAGGTAATAAAAATACAGTAAGGCCTTAAAAGTAAACTACATTTTTATGTTAATTTTTGTAAATAAAATGAAGTTTTGGTGATAATTATTGTGCTCCATTAGATATTTGCCGTGCAAATGTGGATGTGCAAACATTAAAGTTTAAACATACTTTTATGGTAGGTAAATATTGTGGAGATGAATATAAATTATGTTATGTTAACAGTCCATTAAAAATTTATATGTCATAATTTTGTAGAAACTCGGATGATGGTTAATACGTCTTCTGTATTAAAAGTATATATACAATTTAGGAAGGTCATATATTTTTTTGACTTAGTTAATATATCATCATCAGCCTATTAATGTTCCCACTGCTGGGGTACTGACCTACCTTATGGATAGAAAAGGGAGATTGCCCCATGACCCACCAAGCTGGCCCAGTGCGGATTGGTGGGTACTAACGACTGCAGCTGCAGCCGGGACCAACAGCTTATATTATGTCATAAAACGGTCTCTTAGGTAATAACTTTACGAAAGCAAAAACTTTTTTTGTAATATCAATAAAGCTGTCTTTATACTATAGTAATAATTTAGAATTAAGTTATTTGCAAAGGAGTCCATGGGCAAGGTCAAAGTTAAAAGCGCTTTTCGATTACACAAAATGTATGTATTGTATAACGAAAAATATTTCGATGTTTTCTGTGTTGTTAATAGTACTTTATTAAAATTTTCTGAAACCTCGGTTGTTATGACTAATATTTACTGTGGATTTGTTTGTTGAATTAATTTCAAATAAAATTACGGAGAGCAAATACTTGCATTTCGTGAAATAATGTGTATTTATGTTTTCAATATCATTGTATGTTTAGCAAAGTTACAATAAGTATTACATTGGATAAAAGACAATAATTTGCACTGTCGTTATTTTTAGAAGAACGTCTATTTAAGGTAGTTTAAAGACGTCATCAAAATTTATATTAAAAAACAGTACTACAGACCTATTCAGGTCTACATTTGTTAAAAGTTATGATAAATGTCATTCTTTGAGGCTTGGTGTGAGAATTTCATTTGATTATGCCTATGAAGTAAAATATCGATAACATCATCGATACATCCACACATCCCTATCAGAGGCGTATCCAGATAAAAATTATACGAAAATATTGTAACGATAGTGACAGATGATTATAAGCTGGCGATAAAACACACATAATTCGTCAGTAATGGGCACCCCGTACCGGAACAGTCCATGGTAATTCCCACCTTAGACCGATCCGTAATCAATTTGGAGTTTTATAATTTTCGATCACCTTCCTATTATGTTGGTATTATACGACGTGATGACTAAGAGGTCATTATTCTTGCACTAAACGTAAAACCGGTATTTGTAACAAGCACCTAGTTATCGTGGTTTTTGGTCGAAAACAGGCAGACATGTAGCACAAATTGATATGAACAAAAGTTGATGATGATCTACTTATATTTTAATACAGCAATGCATGTTCGACTGATTTGATGGATGTTGGTCGTCATTCTTTTGTCAACTATTTAATCGTTTTCGTAGAAGCCACCATGTAAACATAAATCAATATCTTGACTTAATTTTGACGTGACAACGTCTTAAATTAGGTTGCGGCTGGGAGTCACTTATGAAAAAGTGTAACGCTCGGTAACGTTACGATGAGTCTCTCGTGTTAAGTTTAAGTTTACATGTACAATGTTTTAGTAAACAAAATATATTTCTATAGTTAAAATTTGTGCAATTCTTATTTTCATTCAATTCCTTGTTCCTATTGTGCAATTTAATTATATTCATATCAATAAATATTCTACCGAGAAAAAGACGTTGTCACGTAAAATCTTCGCCCGTAAAACCGACTTTACAGGCAACCATTTTTTTACATAAATTCCTCTAGTCACGCTTTAGGCAGAAGCATTAGATCTCTTGCTACGGCTTGAATTCATGTTTAATATCCTACTATCCTACTCCTACTATAAAATACTATAAATGTGAAAGTTTGTATGTTTGTTACTCAACCATGCAAAAACTACTAAACAGTTTTGCATGAAATTTGGTACGCATATTGTTTATGACCTGGATTGAGACGTATGAATCTTTTTATCTCGGATAAATGTCAGGTTCCTGTGGGATTATTAAAAAACTAAAGATAACCCCGACGAAGTCGCGGGCGGCTGCTAGTAGTCTATAAGTTAATACAATACTCGAATTAAATCTTTCTTAACTTGATCGAGTAGAAAAAACATAACATCTACTTTTTTATTCGTAATATTGATACTCGAAACGTCTGCGTGAACTATTCTCCTCAACAGGAGGTGACACTTAATTATACGAAATTATCTTTATGATAGCGACAGATGATTACGAGATGGCGGGAAAATACATTCTCGTGTAGCTAATGGCGTAGAAGGCGCAGGCGAGGCGATAATTCTCACCTTCGACGAAGACTCGATGCTCGACAGAATCAATTACACATCACTAATGTCGCTCCGGAATTCGAATATTTAGGTAAACTTTTAAGATTTATCGATTTAAACTAACATAAGCATTCATTTAGATGCGATAACCTTGTTTAAACGTACGAGCTTGGAACTTCAGTGGTTATGGCATTTTTTATGTATTATTTACGAATTGCTTTTTTATCAAGAATTAGTTTTTTGGATTGCGTCCATTCATAGTTGATAATGTACCAGGTTTGTTTTTATATTCTGTTTAGTAATTTGCTACTGAAAATTCTATCTGAATATTAAATGAAATAACCTAGAAATGTATCAACTTTTCATATTTTCATACCTTCACGCGTTCCTGACAAAAGGGTATTTGACATACGAACAACAAGATGCTTCTATAAGCGTTCCGTTTTTTTTTCTTTTGAAGTTCGATAATCTAAACCAATTCATTCGATATTATTACATTGGAAAGTTATAAAAAAATAATAAGGTGTAATACAAACTTACCAAATACTGGACTAAGATCCGATTTCACCGATAGTTTACCGGAATAAGGTTCGCCTGATTTCTCCTGTAACAAGGAAAAATATAAATAAATACATTTGGATATGTAATTATCTTCGTAAAACATACTCATTTCTCGTCAAGCTCCTTAACTCCTAAAACTGTAACTTCTACATTTGTGAACTAGCATTGATGGTTCTTTTCTGTTCTGTTCTTCTTGATGGTATCGCATAATACGATGCAGTTAACATATAAGTAGATCAATTCATCTGTACGTAATGAAATTATAGACATGGACACAGAGAATCAGGTAACAATGTACGTAAGTGTACTAGGTCCTATAGGTATACATATAAGAAGATAAGGAGAAAGTATGACAAGGGAAGAATGCTCCTCAGAATCGGGACGAATACACGCAGTAGTATCGACGATACGTTTAATTATGAAACGACTAAACAGTTTCCGTCAGCAACGTTTATGTACTAACGTTGTTAATTAAATAAAAATAGAGTACGTTTGATACATTCCAATGTCCGTTGGTCGGTACATCTCTTGAACACCTTATTTGTCATAAAATTGCTTCCAACGACAACATCAAACGGTGTCAGTTAGCTAAATGTCAATTGAACATTCCCTGAGTAAGGCAAGGGTGACGTTCATGACAGGTGCGTGTTACAAGCAGCAGAAATAACTGCATTTTTTTTTCAGTGAATTTATCAGTACGTTTCGTTCGTGAGGTCAATACTCAATTCCGGTATCAATAAGTAAACAAATTAAGCATTATGTTTTTTTGATACTCCGTTGACGGTAACCAAAGTTCTTTTTCATTCGCATTAAAAACTTTAAGTCTCCTCTATGTTTTGTCTCTATTTATTAAATAACAAATCATAATAGGTATGAAAAAACTCTGCGTAACAACTATAATCTTATTCCTCGTTTATTAATAAATAAATAAATAAATATTTCCAACACTCACACCAATTAGCCTAGCCCCAAAGTAAGGCTTGTGTTATGGGATACTAGGGTAACACGGATAGAATATATATACAATACATATATAAATATATTCATATAGAAATATATATTAAACATCCATGACTGGAGTGCAAATGGTCGTATTTATCACACAAATATCTGCCCCCACAGGGATTCGAACCCAGGACCTCTCGAATCGACCACAGCATGAAACCCGGCGTACAAACCACTTGGCCACGAATGTCATCAATAAGGGGGATAAAGTTTACAATGTTACTTTAAGTCACAGGATTATGTTTAGAAAAGAGAAAAGATTGAAGCAATTGTATCCCAAGTTTAATAATAAAAAAAAAAACAATAACTTCGTGTTGGATGACTTTTCTGTTTTGATATCGAACCATACCATTAACAAGACGGACAAAAAGTTAATATAGCTAAACGTTACTTAAGATACTTTTTGCCAACTTTTTATGGCAAGTGGGTTAACGACATAGGCATTTAGTTAATTGCAAACGTTTCCGCCGATTCCGACCTTAGGCGGAGCACATCAGCCGCGTTTACACGCCAATGGGGCGTTGCGAATCTCAACACCTTATCAAGACTGCACCTTATTTGGGAATCAATCGACTTTGGCCATGAGTCAAAATTTTTCGCATTCTTTTATTGAGTGTGTATGCTGTTGGTCGCAGATGACCTTTGCAGCGTCACCGGGTTTGGGGACGGCGAGATCCTAAGGGGACCTCAAGCCGAGAATTGGCGAATGCCTCTAGAGGTATTCCAGGCGGATGGCATCTCCCCACAATATGGATTTGGAATTGTCATTTAAGAGAGGTAGGGCATAGCGGATTTTCCGCTCCAATTGGAGCGCCCTTCTAGCCTCTATCTTACAGAAGACAGCAGTAAAATAACACTACCTTTTGGTGGTGTTGCGTTTCTGTTGGTGAGTAATCAAGGTAGGCAACGGTGCCAGGGATAGCTTTGTAACAGTATGGCAAGCGTCTATAGGCTATAGTGGCCGCTTACCATCAGGCGGTCCATGCTTGTTTGCCATAAAAAAATAATATTAAATAACATACATACAATTTTTTATAGACAAATGTTTGAAGTTGTAGTTGCTATTTATTATTGATGTGTAACATCTTTCCTCTCGCTTTCCTGCAAGTGATTCCTTTTTGGAAGTGATTTCGTGAAATGGGACGGACGAACAGCCGAAAAGAAGTCGCAAAAGCGCGCGGTATTTGATTTGATTTTAGAACAGAATGTTCAAATGGCTTATTCCTTTTGTAGTAGGTTTTTATTTCTATTTTTTTATATTTTAAGGTGAGGTTTCAAATGTTACACATCATACGCGACTACTGTAAGGCTTGCTCGTTTTTTATTATTATTTTTTATAGACAAATAATGTTAATACTTGTACACATACAATTACATGGATTTTCGGCGGATTGTGTACAAAAGGGAAGAGATTTTTTTATCTCAGCTATAGCGTTAGTTTGGGTAACGCCTTCGTCATACTATCAAACATCATCATCATCATCACAGCCTACTAATGTCCCCACTGCTGGGGCACAGGCGTTCCTTAAGGATGTAATAGGGAGATTGCGCGGTGACCCACCACGCGGGCCTAGCGCGGATTAGTGGGTGCTAATGACCGCAGATGCAGCCAGACCAACGACGAAGCACAGAGGAGCATTTACAAAGAAAAATGCATGGATATTTACTGTATATTTTGCTCCATTTAGATCCCTTTAATTAACTAGTAATAAAAGGGAAATATTGAAATGATACTCAAAAAAAATTATCACCTAAAAATACAATTGGTCACCTAAAGGTTAGATTACCCATTGCATTTTCTTGAGGATCAATTACTATTTTTTTTTGATGATTATTTAATATGTACCATAATAAAAAGACTCTCTAGATATTTTTAGATAATATTATACAATGAAGTAACATAACATTGAGTTTCGTTATCTCAGACCAAACACACAAGAGTATAAGATAAACAAGAGACAGATTTGTTGTATGTCTTGTTAAGATAACCTCTTTGGGCTGATTATTCAATAATAGTACAAACAAACTCTATAAAGGTTTGTGATTTATTCAAATGATGCATATCTCATTCGATGTTTAAGATTTTATTTCAAATTACATCAACAAATATTTGTACGTAAAAATAAATATATATCGAGCGACATTTTCTATTGGTTTTCATATCATACCCGTACATCACCTTACGTCACTAAGGGTGGATCGTAATTGGATGAGTCCGAATCAGTTTACCCCACTCGGACGTGTTTACTCCATATCAAGGGTAACGAATTTCCCCAATTTGCTGGTATTTTTTCGAACACAGATTACTCGTCGTCGGTGGCGCGTGACAAAGGACTTTGTTTTTCATCATGCGATGGGAATATTCCAATTATTTTAGTCATATGAAATTTTTGATAGCGTCGCGTTTGAACAATGTTACTTTATATTTTATAAATATTCTCATTTTTTGGTTTGAATTATAATTACAAGCATTCAAAAAATACTTGGATTATTCAACTTCGATATATGTAACTATAAGCGCGTATAAATAATTCACAAAGTTCGTTGTTGTCTTTTTGGTGAAAAATATATTTAGGAGATAAGACTTTGGTAAACAAAGCGGAATAAGAGGTGGCCAAAAATGTTAAATCGTGGAATAATATTATTATGTATTCTGTATTTTTTTGTTTACTTATTGATTTTTAGATTGCCTAGATTTTCAGCAAAATAATAATAATAAACGTTTAGTTATTATTTTACAAGCATTTACACGCATATTTCACTTCTGCCCAACTGCATTGCAGTTTGCATAGACCATCGTCTAACTTCCTAGAACTATAGAGAAAAAGCTTCCCAAATTGTCCTACATTTTATTTTCATTATAAGCCTACGATTTTAATGTAGTTCTCGTACGTACTCATACCACAGGTCCTTTATTAGTGGAATTGTGATGAAGTGCGTGTGAAAAAACCACGTCTAGACACAGAGTCACTCCCACTGATAATGACTGACTGTACCCGACGTCGGCGGACGAACGGGCAATACCAGTTGTTAGGGTTGTCGATCATTTGAAAATCAGTGACGCAGTTTTTTTTTACTAGAAAATAAATCCACGCGGTCTATGCAGCAGACGGAACTGTATTTTTTTAGATTAAAACATTTAGCAGCTAAATGTTTCAAATCAAAATAAAATAAATCACTGATGTAAATAAAACTAGTTTTTACGGGTTAATGCACGAAACTTTATTCACTGATGTGTTACAATTTTCATGTAAATTTTTAAAATATGAGCATTATATATGATGCGACTAAGTTTACTTGTGCAATTACTTACTAGCTAAAAATATATCTCCCGGAAATCAGCATAACCCACATTAAAATATTTAATATATTATAAATCCTATTAAATTTTACTTAATTTTTTATCAATTAAATTGTACGTGAAAACCTAGATTGGTTAACGAGATACAGTTCGTTGGTAGACTCATAAGATGTTTAGATAGTAATAATGCTCTATTGTCATCCTACGAACACGGAACCCTAATAAGTAACACATATTACAGCATAAGTACTATACACAATTTCACCACTCATCAAAAACGTAGTATTTTACCTCAACAGGTAACATATCGGTCGTCCGGTGTTTATTTACAGAACAGTAGCTCCATCCCTTAATCCCTACGAACGGTCAATGGAGCGGACAGGCTGCGCTCGAAGCGACCAATTACGATGACCGACCCTTCCAGGAAACTCCCTGATTCATATCAATTACCCTGTTTAGCTGAAGTGACAACCCTTACGTTTTTTTTTCGGTTGGCGCGCTTTTTTAACGATATCGATGTTCCGAAGTCGTGGGCACAGCTCTATACGAATGTTAATTAGCGGTTGTACTGTTTGTTTGTTTGGACAGTACAGTTTATAAGGCGTGACGGCACTTGATAATATTACATAATGTACGCAATAACTCGTTGTAGAGAGCAAATGTTAATTCATTTAGTCGTACACATTGAATGTGTGAGGGTAATTAGTAATTAATTTTAAAATGGGTGCCAGATCTCG